ACGGTTATTAAATAGTTTCATTAATATTTTCATTTTGACCCTTCTTTTCAGGACATCCCAGCTAAGTAACTGCTGTCTGATGGCTGTTTTGCAGGTTGGCCTGGCCGTGGTGAATGGACAGCTGATGGCAGTGGGGGGCTTTGATGGCACAACGTACCTGAAGACCATTGAGGTGTTTGATCCAGATGCTAACACGTGGAGGTAACTTGAATTTGGGTGACAATCAAACAGTGAAATCAGCTGGAGCTGTCCCAGGAAAAGTAGGAATGTGGTACACACCATAACAGAGAGCTTGTGTGGGGTAGAACCATCACAACATTCCCATTCTGGCTTCTTGCCTTGCAAGAAAAAAAACACATTTTGAAAAATATCCCAGTATGGCCCTTCTGTTCATTTTGGGCTGAGTCTCTCCTGCTTCCCAGTAAAACTGAGCTTGTCCTTAGTAGAAGGAACTCTCAGCCACCATGCAGAATTTGGCCTGTTCACTTCTTGCTTTCAAGCTGAGGGAGTGATTTCTGAATCCTTTTGGAGGAGCTGAAACACTTCAAGCACATGGTGTTATCCCCCTTTAAATCAGCAGGATTCAGCCACTGGAAGAATCTCCAAGCTGAGACAAATAATACAAAATTGCTGATCAAAATATATGCTGAGCAGAAAAGAAAGAGGAAAAATAGCCTTTCTAGACAAAACTATACTTGAAAACAGTATTTATTCCTAGATGTAATTAGCATAAAGGATCAAGCACCTGTGGTTATTTTTGCTGCTGTGGTGATCTGGCAAGGGTGGGGAATGGGGAGAAATTAATTTCCTTATTCTTACTAGTGATAGTAGTAGTTTAACCCTTCACTGATAAGAATGGCTGTCATGAGCAGCAGTGGAGGAATTTCCCCTGGTTTGGTGAGCCATGGATCCATAGGACCTTTTGAACTGCTGAGGAAACCAGTCGAGGAGAGAGTGGTACATCGATCAGATTGCTTAGTGGAATGGTTTCAGCTACTCCCTGTGACAGTCCAGGCAGGCATTCACACAGTTTGGGAGATTATTCAAGGTATTATTAGCTTGTGGTTTTTTTCCTCCACTGAACTCAACATAGGTGACCAGCTTCTGTGGTCTTCCCTTTCTTTTGTATCTTGAAGATATTTTTTATTTGTGCAGCTTGACTGAGAAACGATTCTGCTGCAATTTGGCTTTAGCAAAGGTGTTTGGAGAACTTGCTTCTCCTGTTCCTGCCAGCAGACTCCAGTGGCACAGAGGGGAACATGCAGCTGCAATCTGTAGGGATCTGATATCCCTATGAAATGCAGACACCATTGCAGTCAGCAGATGGTGCTTGGGATGTGTTATATCTTGGTTGGATCAGCTGAATGTAGGGGTTTAGACATACAAAATAAATTAGTTGAATTGTGAGGACTAAGCCTAGTCCTGTGTTATCCAAAACCTAGCTTAAGGTCAGCTACAGCTTACAAAGCTTTTTTCTGTCTTGCACATTACCAAAGAGGGAGCGGGAAGTATTTATTTGACAGAAATTTGGTGTCAAATCAAGCAGCAGTTTCTGTTCTGAGAGAGGAAGGCACGAGCAAATACAGCTGTTTACTTATGAAGTGTGCAAGATGGGTGCTCCTCAACCTCTCCTTCACTTTAAGCAGACATTAAAGATGGTAACACAGGCTGGTTCAGTGTTTCCCATGACAGCTCCCAAGGGTTGGTGCCCCCATGGAGGAGGATGGGAGCCATTGTGTGAGCCTGGAATGTTGTCTCTGCAGGTTGTACGGCGGGATGAACTACCGGCGGCTGGGCGGAGGCGTGGGCGTTATCAAAATGACACACTGTGAATCTCATATATGGTAAGCTTCCAGAGGGAGGGAGTCCCCTGCCTTCTCATTCCTAGAAAAAAACTGAAGAGACTTGTTGACACTGGACCTCTTTGCAGCTCTAGTATGCACGGTCTAGATCCAATGTAACTCTTTGTCGGTGAACTCTTTCTATGGAATTCTAAAAATTGACTTCTGTGAGAGTGTGCCCCGCGGGAGACCACGTTGTCAGACTCCAGGGAACCACTGGACAAAAGTAGAAGTGTTGCTTATGTCCGTATTTTTTCTAAATAGTTCTACATTTTTTGAATAAACCAAACTGTAACAGTTATTGTAGCCTAAAAGGATGCTGATGTAGAGCCTATACACTCTGTACTGGGAGTCTGGCCAGGAGGAGGGATTCCTGCTTTCCCTCCTGCTGTGGGAGCAGTGGATGTGGCAGCTGTTTGGTGGGCGAAAGAGAAAAAAAGTGATACAGAAAACATTGCTTTTGCCTTATTTACAGAGAGCTTCAAAAAAAAGTACTTGACCTGCAAGGTGCCACCTTTGCACAGAAGCTTTTCTGTGCACAGAGTATATTTATTTTTTCATTTGATTTGTATCATGTATTTCCTTTGTATTGCTCACAGCGATGATTCCAGCTTTTTATATACATCTGTGTGTGCATATATATATGTATTTTATATATATATATGTATATGTGTGACTTGCGTTTCGACCAGCTGGTGGTTTGAGCAGGGCTGTGTCCTGCCAGCTACTGTGGTTCCAACCCTTGTGGTATGATTTGGGGTCTCAGAGGACAGGAGAGCTGTGAAGATGAGCGCCCTAAGTATCTTGTTAGAGCTGGAACTCTCATTGCTTGACAGTGAAGTGCCCAAAAAGGGTGAGAGGAAAAGGATTTCAAGCAATGCCTTTTTACTGTACAAAAATTCAGCTTTTCTCTCCTCTCTCCTGTGTGTGAACCTGTGCTGGTTTGAAGGTAAGCCAGCAGGGGAGGAATTAACCCCACAGAAACACCTTGTGAGAGATTTCAAGTTGGAGTTACAATTCAATAGCAAGATGACAATAAATGCAATGAATACACAAAGACTGGCTTAAAACCAGTCCTGATTAAACAGTGCTTGCAGTCCTGTTGCAGTGATGGATGAGATCTTGTCTAAAGCACTGGTCCTGTAGGAAAGTGCAAAGTAGCAGGAAAGACCTGCTCCTTCTTTGGATGTCCAGTGGTGGTGGTGGTGTCCAGGTCCCCAAACGCCCAGATCATGGACCCTCAAAGCCAGGCAGGAATGCTGAATCCCTCCCCCAGAGCAAGGGATTTCCCAATGAAATGGTGGAATCCTGAGTCATAGGACATTTTGGGGAGTCCCTGGCGGCCCACTGGCAGAGGTGACCCCCCCTTAGGCTGGGGCAGCTGTCACTTTGTGAAGACAGGGAACACTGCACCCAGCTCCCAGCTGTTACAAAGGACCCACCACTTACAGGAATAATATCAGTTCATCAGAAATAATGCAGGTGGGTGTGGAATACAGTTTGGCTACACCCACACTGGTACTTCATCCTGCAACCATTGACAGAACTTAAATCCACCTAGTTCTAGCCCACTTTTAAAAGCCTTTTTCCTCCTGTTGCCTGCTCGGTATCAGTTGTTGTCTGAAGCAGGGTGCAGGTATCATCTGTTAATTCTGACACCCACTTCTTGTGTTCTTGCTGGAAGGGGCAGACCCACAGCCAGCTCCTTCCTTCTGAAAAAAAACCTCAGACCAGCCTCACCTCAGCTGCCTGTAGAATTCCTGACCATGATGGATGGTGCCCTCTCTTTGAGTGGTTTTTGTGCACTTTGCCTGTGTGTGGTTAGAGCAGGGAAAGGTGTGAGGCTCATTTAAGAGTTTGGAGGGGAAGGGCTGTTTTCTGGCACTGTGAATAACTGTGGAGTCACCCAGGAGTGGGGGGAGAGCAGGGAAGAACTCAAGACTCTGCAGTTCTGTTTTTACTGTAATTTCTATGGTGTATGGAAGAATGACCTTTTGCACCTGATCTAACTGTGGACATTAGTAAATTTCATTTTGAAAAAGAGGACTGTAAATTCTTGAGATGAAAAAGGCAGTGATGACATCTTAAGTTCTTTAACGTCATAGTTTGATTCATGTAACTCAGATTTTAATGTGCTTGAATATAGTAAAAAATACACTACAGTCATAAATGGGACATTACAACTTTTTTAAAAGCCCCTTTACCCCTAAAGGTCGGTATTCTTGTGTTTACATATGAAGATCATTTGCACCTTTACAAGGAAAACAAGTATTCTGTAAACAAATGTTTACATGTATCATTTATGCTTTTTTCTAGCATGAGTAACTTGTATAAATAGTGCTATCTTAATAAATTTCTTCTATGCTGTTCTTGGTTTGTTCCTTGGGGTGACAGCAGTGGGAGATGTTTGTCTGTGGTTTATATGGTCAAAGATGCTGGAGGGTTTTTTCCCCAGATAAATCCCAGTAAAAGAGGCTTAAAACTCTGCTGTTTCTTGTTACTCTTCACATTGCTCAGAACCAGCTTTTTCTGTGCTATCTGGCTAAATCTTATCTCTGCTCACTTAACTGCATTTAACAGTGAGGACAACACAAGGAAGAGGTTAAAAGAGGCTATAAGAATTTAGGTTTTTAGAGATTAGTTATGCAAATTGGTTGGAAAGAGCTGAGCATCAGATTTAAAACTTAGCCCTGGGTGTAACAGTCCTATTTTCAAACCAAATACAGGTACCAGTTAATTCCAAACCTTGCGCTCCTTTGTCCAGTGCTCTTCTGACTCCAGATAGCAAACTTTGTCTGAGATATTTCAAAAAAGGAAACTAAAGCATCAGAAGTGATAGTTTTAAGTAGCTGCTGAGCTGCCAAGACCTTCAGAAGATCACTTTGCTGCTTTTACCAGGGTAAGAATTAGCACAGATTTCAACCTTAACATGCAAAAACCAATCCATCTTCAAGTAGTAAAGAATCTGAAACCAAGTGCATGTTTCTTTGTTCAATTCTGGAAACAGCTTAGGAACTAGGCATGCAGTTATGTCATGTGTTAGGCAGTTTTATACTGGGAAAAGAAAGGAAACTTGCACCCCTGTTTGGGAGAAGGTCATAGCACAAATCAGCTCCCAGAGGTGCTGCACAAGTGTGAAGCAAGTAACTAGACTTGGAATTTTGCTGCTCACAGAAGCATTTAATAAGTAACAAGGAGTGGTTTGGTCAGGTAAGCTGTAATTCGAAATAAGCTCCATGCAAGGATATATTTAATTAGACAGTGGTGGTCTTTCCTTAAGACAAAAGATGGAAAATATTTTCTTTATTTAGTACTGTATTACAAAAATGTCTCAGCAGGTGCTACTTTCTGCTCCTTAAATGTCCCTCTGAACTTTTACCTGCTCCAGAAGGGAGGGATCCAACATCAAATTCTAGCATAGCTTCAACCCTGAGAGCTCTCTGGCCTACAGGATTATATCCAAGATTACAAATATCAGGACAAAGCCTAGTAACTATCAAGCTTATCTACATCACTTTCCTATCTATCAACTTGTCTGGGAGGACCAATAGGCTGACAAGTGCCTCATGTCCAATCTCATGCCCAACTGGAACATGAATGAACATTATCACCATTACCAAGTACCCTTAACAAGTTAAAAAGGGAGTTAGAAACCTGGATTTTTCTGCCTGGGTTGTAGAGCATGCACCCTTTCTCAGGTGTGCTGAACTCTGCATTTAGGCTAGCCCAAGACTAATCACAGTTTAGCCAATGCTAAAGTCTGCGTAGCTTAGGCTGTCCAGTGAAAACCAACTTTGAAAGAACAGAAATACCTGGCAGTAAGTTGCATCGAGAACTTGCACTGCTTGTCTCTGAGCTGATACCGGCACATAAATGAAATGAGCGAGTCTGAGAAAACAAAGCTGCTCAGGATGCTGTCACAAGTTTGCATTGCAGCCCTTCTTCAGGGCCTGCTTGACTTTGCTATGCATGGAATTACACAGCCAAGTGCTGGAGCTGCAATCTGACTTTGGGCAGCCAGAATGAGAGGAAAGAAGATGCTGCAGGAGTGAGTTTCCTGGTGGTTTCTCAGCACAGATTGTCCAAACAGAAAGCCTTTTTAGTATGAGGAGCTACTGAAATGGCTCTCACTGTATCTGAGAGATTGCGAGTTCAGTCAGTAGCATCAGCACTCCAGGCAGGTACTGGCTGTGTAGAATCTGCAAGAAAGAGAAAAAAGCCCGTCAAAGCAACAATTGCAGTTGCCAGATTTCCACACCCTGAAGCCCTGGTTGGAAGGAAACTACTAAGTGTTCTGTGTGTTTATTCAGCTGCTCTGTTGCTGCTTTACTTTTCCCGTACTGCATGAGACTTGAATTCTGTCCCATTATGAAAAGCCATAACTGAATTTACACAGCACACATTCCACAAGAGCACCCTTCAGAAAGTCTGAGATATCTCTGTGCACTTACCTGCAACAGAAAAAGTTGTTTCAGACAGTTTTAATGTATTACAGATAAAAACAAGCAATGTGCTCCTCATCAGAGGGTAAATTTAAAGAACTGCATTTACACAAACTGTTCTTTAACTCAGAAGTAAATATTGTATTGCTTGAAGGATTAATGTTCTGTGGTTTGAAGGATATTGAAGGTAGAAAGATCAGCACCTTTATGAAAAGGTTTACATATGAAGGAGTCTTCTGCCTGTGTCTTAATAACTACAATACTAGAAAGTTAGTAATGTTTTTGAAGTTTGGGATCTTTTTACGTCCAAAATGAGGTTTTCTATGGCCTAAGAAACTTTCCTGTTCATACCACAGCTAATACACCTATTTCTGCCGCAGGCAAGTAGCTTCTGCTGCAACACAGTAGTAAAATGCTGCACTGGCAGCTGCCCCACCTCTAAAGCTAAATATGACTAGTAAAAGCTGAGGGTTTATCAATTCCTTGTAAGAAATCATGCAAAAGGAACACAAGACCTTCAGGTACAGCTATTTTATTTGGCCAGCATTAGGACAACCTGCTACTAAAGGCCTCACCTTTACAATCCCATCACAGTGTGCCGAGGCAATCGCTGTGGAAACCTTCACCAGCTTGGCAGCTGACAAGTGGATCTTGAAGTGCCTGTGGAAGTGGGCGTAAAGGCAGTCCATGAAGACATCCACCTCCTCTTGGGTGATCTCTCCTGGCGTTTTTTGCACCGTGTCCCACAGAGCTTTGGCATCCTCTGGGTGGATGGCGTAGGAAATATCCAGGGGCTGCGACAGGCGGGGCACGGAGAAGAGCAGTTCCACGGCAGAGGCAGCTCTGTCCAGCTTGCAGCCAGCCCACATGGCCACCATCCAGCTGAGGTTCAGCGGGCTGATGGCCAGGCGGCGGAAGCAGCAGTCGAAAGTCTTCTGGAACCAGCTGCCAACCAAGGAGGTGTAGCTCTCGGCCCCGTGGCTCAGGAACAGGGGCAGGCAGGTGAAGTGCTCCGGCACGTTCTCGGAAAAGTCATCTCCAAACACGGAGCAGAACCAGCCCATCCACACTGGTTTATCCTCAGAGTTCTTGGAGGAGGCTCGTGACCTCGAAGAGAGCTGCGATGGGGAGAAGAAGCATTGCAATGCTGCAAAGCAAGTATGGCTTTTTTTTTTTTGGTCAGCTAAAAACAGATATTGATTTAAAGTTTTAAGACTTTTTTTAAAAGTGGCTTTTTTTTCCCCCCTTGTGTTGAATACATACAATTATTCAGTCTATCCATGACATCCCTAAAAGTTGAATGCAATTCTGTTGAAAACAGCAGAAAAAGCACTTTTAAATTCCTTCGGAACAATCCTGAGATCTGAGTTTATGCTGCTTAACTCCCATGCTACATCCTACAGCCATTGACACAATGAACCTGACACTTCAGTAGCACATTTTACTCGAGGCAAAACATTTCAGAAATTAAGCTCTGGCCAGGAAGTGGGATTATGCTTTATCCAGGAAAAAAAATAACCCATCCACGTCCTGGCAGTAAATTGACTACTGAACTGAAACATCAGAGATTGCTCTGTATAGTCATACTCTGATGCTGTTAAAAAGTTGAACTCAAACTTGCTCTTTAGTGTATGCATTGCTTAGGGGAGATCACAGGATCAATTAGGCTGAAAAAGACCTCTGAGGTCATCAAGTCCAGCCTGTGACCAAACACAACCTTGTCATTAGACCAGGGTTTTGACTGTGTCACATCTAGTCTTAACTTAAACACCTCCAGGGACGGTGACTCCACCATCTCCCAGGACAGCCAATTCCAATGTCTAATCATCCCTTCTGTAAAGAAACTCTCCCTAATGTCCAACCTAAACCTCCCCTGGCACAGCTTAAGACTACAAACGTTCAGTTCCAGTTAAAAACAGAATTCAGTTTCATTAGATCACAGTGCATGCCCCAGCAGCCACTCCACACAGCTAGGGGTTTAACTTCGGCGTTTTCTCTCAAGACAGAGCGTTCCATCACAGCACAAACCAGCCCCCTCACCTGCACGAGGAGGGCAGCCTGGTCCAGCTCGCTGCCCCTGAGCTCGGCAAGGCTGGACAGGGCCGCCTTGATGTCCAGCTCGACGCCCACCTCCACCGCCAGCCCCTTGTGCTTCTCGGCGGCGATGAAGGCGCCCAGCTGCCGCGCGTAGTCCCTGAGGCGGGCGCGGCGGAAGCCGTACAGGGGGGTCACGCTGTACAGCGTCCAGGCTTTACGCAGCAGGAACGCGGTTTTCTGCGGGTCAGCCTTTTCCTAGCGGGAAACAAAGCAAAAGGAATAAGGTTAAAGTTTGATTTAAAGTTTGCTTTTGCGGCGCGGCGCAGCGCGGCTGAGGGGACACCGAGGAAACACGGAGACGCCGCCCGCGCCTCTCCTTACCTGAGAGCACAGCGCTGGCACAACGAGGCGCCCGCTGGCGCTGAGGCCGAGGCGGCCATGGCTCCGTCCGAAGGGCAGAGCCCAGGAGAGCCGCCTGAGGCTGGGCAGAGTCCGCACTGCACCGTCCTCCAGCGCCTCCTCCGCCATGGCCGCCGCGGCCCGCCCGCGCCGTTCGAACTTCTTCCCGTCGGCCCCCGCGCGGAGGGCGCGCCCTTCCGCCATTTTTGGGGCGGGCGGCACTGGGGGAAGGAGGCGGCCGTGGTTTCCTCTTTTTCCCTTTTCCCCTCCGGAGCTGTTGTTTTTCACTTGGCGCAGGTCTGTGGCGCTCCTCCCGCGTGTCTGGCTGAGGGGCGGCTGCGGGATGGCGCTGCCCCGGCTGCTGGTGCGAGCGCTGCACCGGGCGGCCGCTGCCGCCGCACCTGCGGCTCCAGGTGAGGAGGAGCGGTGCTCCCATCCCCTCGAGATCTGCGTGCCTTTTCTCACGGGTACAGGTCACGGTAGTCCACGCAGTCGAATAATATCACAAGTTGTTTTCCGTGTATCACTTTATTAAGTGTTGTGTCTAAATCTCTTTTAATTCTAAAGGCTGTCATGAAGAATTATTTATATATGTCCAGGTAATGGCATCCTTCGGGCTTGTCCCGAAGCTGAGCCTTGCGCATTCTGTAAGTGGTGTGTGCTTAGGCCGTGATTGCAGGCACACGGGGCTCTGTGCACACCTCTCTGTAACCATGGCTAAGGCCTTCTTCCAGTTGTTTCAGGCAGGACCTGTTCAGTTTACACCTACATGGTGGCTGTCCTGCATGTGTGTTGGATTCTTGGTTAAGCCCTGTTCTGCTGTGTCACTGCCAGGAACTGCAGTGGCAGAACAAGGGGGAATGGCTTTGAACAGAAAGAGGGTAGGTTTGGGTTGGATATTGGAAGAAATTCTTCCATGTGAGGGTGGTGAGGTCTTGATCCTGCTGAGAGGAGCTGTGGCTGCCACATCCCTGGAAATGTCCAAGGCCAGGCTGGATGGGGCTCTGAACAACCTGGGATAGTGGAAAGTGTCCCTGCTCGTGGCAGTAGAGGGGAATGAGATGAGCTTTCCTTGCAACCCAAACTGTTCTATGATTCTGTATTTAAATGTGGAATTGTTAGAATCCCTCAGGATTGATCTGTGACTTTTGCTTCTCTTGCTCCTGAAATTTGCAGGGAAACAGTTTGCAGCAAGGCTATGTTCACGTATCTTTATGAACTGAGAAACATAAATAATCCCTGTTTAAAATGCATTTGGACTAGCTTAATTTCATGTTTATGACATAGCATCTTAGTGCAGATCTATATAAGAAGTAACATATATATATATAAAACTTTATTGGGAGGGAAAACTATTATTTATTCTGTCTCATCTGTAAAAGCTATGAGAGATTATGTATATATACATATATATATATTTTTTTACTTTTAATTTGAGACTTCAACAGTTTTGTCACTCGGACCAACACGTGTGGAGAGCTGCGTGCTGCTCACGTGGGCCAGAGGGTGACCCTGTATGGATGGGTTCAATATCAAAGGTAAGTGCAAGCCATGGTGAAAATGGAGATGATTGTTTGCCACATCCAGTCTAAGCTGTGTTTCATCCAGCATTGCTCTCCAGTGATGGTCTGCATGGGTTTTTTGATTTTAGGAGGTCCTGAGTGTCTCTTTGAGCAGCTGTGGATAGGAACTCAGGAAAGGGAGTTAGGATTATTGCAATGTGGTTGTGGTGATCTTGTTTTTGAAGACACCAGAGCATGTCCCATTGGGCAGTTTTTTGATGGATAATGCACAATGGCAGCTGTCCCTGCTGCAGCTTGAAGAAATCAAGATTTATGGTTCTGGGGCTGGCAGTGTGGATTGTTCATGTGGAACTTTTTATAGGAATGGATCAGACAAGGCCTCTTTCTGGTTTTGAGGGATTTCCAGGGACTGACCCAGGTCATCATTCCTCAGGATGAGGTAAGTGCTACCAAAACACGAGTCTGTGTTTTTATTTTTCCTTTGGCAGCTTGGCTTCAGCAGCCACTTTGTCAGACTGAGTGCTCTGACTCACAAGTAGATTGCAGTGTCGTGAGAGCCCTGACCTGACACTGCAACAGAAGCATCAGCGCTGTTTCCCGTGCCTTAAAAGAGTGATTTTGGATTGAGGTGCTTGGCCACAGTGCCTTTGTCCTGTTCTTTGGATCCCTCTGAGGTTCTGTCCTCTCCCTGCAGGCACATTCCCACGTGAAGGAGCTGCTGTCCAGCGCCCCGCTGGAGTCTGTGGTGAGAGTCACTGGGACAGTGTCCCCCCGGCCCCTGGGGCAGGAGAATCCGGTGAGGATGGGGTGGGAGAGACTCCCAAAGTTTTTATTCCTTGAAGGAAACACCCCTGGATGGTGGGATTATGGTGGGCTTTGTGTGAGAGCATTGTCAGGTTCTGGTTGTGTGACAGCACATCCTCAGATAGTGTGAGGTGCAATCAGTGCTATGTCAGATAACAGGAGAATCTCAGAGCACATTGCAGGCACCCACAAATTAAAGTGGATCCCAGCCCTTTGCAAGGATAATGCTGGCTTTTCCATGCTTTCAGAGTGTGGTGGGAATTTCTTTTGCTTGAAAATCAATATTGTCATGTCAAGTTCCACCTGTTTATTGATTCTGCTGGTCTCCCTGTATAGGAAACAGAGGTTGAATACTTTTTTAATGTTCTGCATTCCTCAGCTGTCATTGTAATCAGCTGTAGACTGATCTTTCAGGATTGTACATATAACTGGCAGGTCGAAAAAGAGGACTGTATTTATGGTCATAACACCTTTTTGCTCCATCTCATAGATGTCCACTTAAAATCCAGGCTTCAAGCAATGCCTTTCTTTCCCTTATTAATTTCTGGTTTTGTGGGAAGGCTGTGTGTCCTTTCCCCTGGTAAACAGTGAGAGTCCTGCAGGATAAGTGAACTTTGCTGTGCCTCAGTGATGTGTGAGGGGAGCTGCCTGCCCTCCCTCGGGATGGAGTCAAAAGAAGACCAGTTCTGAGAACTGGTGTTTAGAACTGGAAGTTCTGAGAAGTTCCTCATATTTGCCTTTTTTGACTCATATTAAGGGCTGCTGCTGCTCATGCTCACTGAAACCCACACTGTGTGGTTTTGCTGGGGCTAGTGCGTTTAGAGACCAGTATGCTACTGGGAAAGAAGCTGCCATCTTTGGTGAGGTGACTTGTGTTTCTCTGAAGAGAAGGGAAATCTGGAAGAAATCTGTCCTTGGGAGATGCTCTCTGATTTATACACTGTGTTAGAAGGCAGGGAGGGTAATCACATTGCTTCTTTTTTTCCCTTAGATCATCTGTGAAATACCTTTGTCCAACTGTTACAATTTTTTTGCCTTTTTGTTCTAGAAAATGCCAACAGGGGATATTGAAGTGAAGGCAGAGACTGCAGAGATCTTAAACTCCTGCAAGAAGCTGCCTTTTGAAATCAAGGATTTTATCAAGGTGTCTGTGTTTTTCTTATCAAAGTGGTGGCTTTTTGTTAAATTGGGAATTTGCCCAGGGTGTTGGCAAAACATCTGAGAGCCAAGTCTGGTTCTCTTCACTTCAGAAGAATGATGGTATTTAGAACAGGGGTGTTGTTTGTTTGCTGGGAGGATTTATTTCCAATTAGCTTGAATGATTCCAGATTTCAGGAAAAACTGATGATAAAGGAGAGAGTGAAAGAAATAGGGCTAAGCTGGGTTTTTTAAGTGTGAAATGAGGCTGTTTTATTTGACTCATGGAATCACAGAATGGTTTGGGTTGGAAGGAACCTTAAAGATCATCCTTTTCCAAACCCCCTGCCATGGGTAGGGATGCCTCCAGGTTGCTCAGAGCTTCATCCAGCCTGGCCTTGAACACTTCCAGGGATGGGGCAGCCACACCTTTTGTGGGCAGTTTGGTTTTGTGGGCATATTTGTGTAGGTTGTGCATAACGGGCACATTGTGGCAACCAAGCACCATCCCTTTTTTAGCTTCTCCTCTTTCTCTGTGGCTTTAGGAGCACCTTGACTGGACGTGCAGTTTGAATTTTGTCCCTTAACCCTGACCCTCTCTCCTCCCCAGAAGTCGGAGGCCCTGCGGATGCAGTACCGGTACCTGGACCTGCGCAGCTTCCGGCTGCAGTCCGCGCTGCGGCTGCGCTCTCGCGTGGTGATGAGGATGCGCGAGTACCTCTGCAACCTCCACGGTGAGGGAGCTGCTTGGAGCAGCAGACATTCCAGCTCTCCCTGCTGCTTTTTCCTTCTGCTGGCAGAGATTCCTAACCAACTTGCTGCTCCAAACTGGTCACACTTAATAAGGACGTGTCTGCTTCTGGTGGGGTCTTTAGTGGGATGTTGTCAGGCCTGAAAAAGCTGCCCACAAAAGTTGTGGCTGCCCCATCCCTGGAAGTGTTCGAGGCCAGGTTGGATGAAGTTCTGAGTAACCTGTTTCAAATTAGCTGTTTCCAATGAGAAAAGACTCTTTGCAGGTAGTTGCCCTCTTTTGGTCACCCAGTTGAGGCATGTCAAAGGGATGGATTTTGTTTAGGGATTTTGCATCTCTTAAAATCAGGAAGTGCTTTTTGGAAAATCATTGCCTGGTTCAGAATAGATAGAGAATTAACACATTTTCAGCCTGTTTGGAGTCCTCTGTCATCAGCAGTTCTGGCAGGACATCAGAGTAGCTCAGAGCCTTTAGATCTGTCATTACAGGAATAATTATTGGAAGTAGTAAAGTGTGTTGGTTTTGGAGAGGCTCCATGGTGTGCTACATGACCTATTTTGCTGACTAACCCTATTCTAGCCTACTCTATCATGTTAGTTCTCCCTCCTCTCAGCATATTCTGTGTTTGTTCCCCAGGGTTCGTGGATGTAGAAACTCCAACTCTGTTTAAAAGAACCCCAGGGGTATGTATGTGATGCTTTTGGCCTCCTACAGCTGCACAGTCAGGGCTGAATCATTTCCAGTTGCCACTCAGCCTTTGTTGCTTTTCCCTTGCTAAATGACAGGTTGTGGAATTTCTGATACCATCCACAGATCCTTTTAAAAGTAGAGGGAGAGAAAGGGGAGAGGTGATAACTCATGTCTTAATTTTGAACCTTCAAACAAGATAAGCTTCTGCCTTGTAGAGCACATGTTGAATGCAAATCTACCCTGGGATTATAAACCCAAAAAACTTTGAAGCACTGTCTTTTCAGCATTTATCTCTTAACC